GAAGCAGCCCTTGTAAATTATGAAGTCCAAACTGCTAGAATAGTTATATGCATGAATTTCGTTCCTCTGTAGTGTGAACACGCAAGAAGACAACATAAAATATTACATCTGTACAATTGGCTCTTAACATCAATCTAGAAGGGAAGTTGCCGTCATCTGATACTTGCTTATCACACTTTTAAAGCTTCTGTTTTGTGGTCCTTGATAGCCCTGAAATGCAGTTGTGCAGCGTGGTACTGAGTGGGTAAGTTGTCCTTCTTTTGTCTCTGCCTCTGTCACCCTAGTTAGAGTTCACTCGGCTGGTCTGCATCCTAAACACCTACACAGCTGGTTGGCAACTATCTGTGGTAATAGTATTGACTTTAAACATCCAAGCAGCTTACTTCATCTGGGGCATTAACACTGCCTACTCAACCTAGTTCATCTTTGTGGCTACGGATTAATTCTGTGAGGGCCAATATCTAAATCGCTTATTTTTTAGTTTATATGAAATGCCTTTCTTGCTCTCTGTCTCGTCTCAGACGAATATCAAGTGCATGCCTCTACTTGATGTGTGGTAGTTCTATACAATCTAAGATGTGAATGAGATATGTGCTCCATCACTGCTGATTAGGTGCAGTGGGTGTGCAAACACAGGGAAGGACTTCAGTAGATCACGCTGTAGAAACTTACAAAACCTATCATGATGAATTTGCGTAAAGTGTGATATGCAGTGATTGTGTTAATGTCCTGAAATTTGAGAGCTTTCAGGCATGAAGTAAGGATGACATTTTAGTACTTTATGACAGATATAATTACACTATGTCTGCTGTCTTGGTTGAGAGGGGTAAGAAGCTTAATTCCCAGCTGGAGAACACTGAGATCATTGTATTCGTTCTATGAGAGTTAAACCCATTACCATCCAAATATAGCACCCCTGGACACAGCTATCAACCTGTTTACTACCAAGAGAGTATTCCAGTTTTAAAGAATACTGTTTCCACAAATAATTTATAGAAATTATTTGTCTGGTTGGATCTTTCTTTTGCTAATGCCTTGGGTCAGCTGCCAAAAGTAATGCAGCCACAAATGTTTAGTATGTGCTCTCACAATGACAGCTCCAGGAACTCTTGTAACTGAATTTTGGCATCGGTTTCTCTGTTCTTTCCTCCAAGATAGGATGAATGAATTCTGACAAAATAATAATTATGTAGTCTACAATATTTCCTGCATTTGCACAGATTTTGTTTGAGATAGTTTCTCACTCCAATTTATAGGAGGGAGAGGAGGTTCTTTGATATCCGTATACCCAGGGTGAGATTAAGAAACAATAGTTCAAATGTTGGTCCAACAAGTTTATTACAGATCTTAATCAGGGAGATGGGGAAGGGGAGGATGGACACTATTATGAATTAGGGTAATGGGGAAGGGAAGGAGGGCGATAGAAAAGATATGAAAGAAGAAGCAAGGAGTCTTTGTGGGAAGCAAGAGGGAGATAGTCACCACATGGATCCAGCGTGGTTCATAGTTCAGACTTCAGTAGTGGTGGGTCATCAACTGTTGTTATTCCATTGAAGACGATGGTGACCATGGCAATGGTGGCAACTTCTCAGTGGTATTACCAACTTATTTATAAGTCCAAAGTGGTTGAGTCAGCTCTCCTTGGAGTAGCAGCTTCTGGATCTGGGAGCCGAAACTCCTTTGTTCTGGGCCTTGCCAGCAGATAAAAGGGAGCAGCGAGGCCATCAGCTTGTGTCTTGCCTTCACAGGATACAATGGTATCCCCCAGTCTCCCATAGCAAACAGGAGTTATTTGGTCACAGGCTAGATATTCTGCCAGTAAACATTCCTGAGCAATCTCTTCCAAAGGCAAACAGCTCTAAAGAAATGCTTGCAAAAGTAGAATCGTCCACACAGTGATGTTGATTGCCACATGACACCCATCTCTCATCTCCTAGAGTCTTATCACAAAAAATACCTCAGAGAGCAAGTTTTGAGCCAAAAAAATCCCAAAAAACAACAACAATAAAAAAGAAGGATTCATACAGATAGTGACAGTCAAGATCTTTAAAACTTCCTTTCTACTCTAAATATGACAATATGCTTAACAATATATGTTACACATATATGAAAGAAGTAGAAATACATTTAACAAATTATCTCCTACGAATGTTCAAATACTAAAGTAAATCAACAAAGCCTTCTAAATTGCATTCATTATTATTAAAATCATATTGATTGATTAAAGAAACAGTAAAGCATTTGCTCATCAAGGACATTTGAGATGAGATTGTCAGGAAGATTGTATCAAAGCTTTTTTCTTGGTATCAGATGCAGGAAGTAAGATAACAATGTGAATAAGGGCAGGAGTCACCATGAGGATTAAAATGAGTTCAGTACAGAAGGTTTCCCTGGACTGGTGTACTGATGAAGAGTCGGCTGAATATGAGCCAGCAATGTGCCCAGGTGGCCAGGAAGGCCAATGGCATCCTGGCTTGTATCAGGAAAGGTGTGGTGAGCAGGACTAGGGAAGTCATCGTGCCCCTGTACTCAGCATTGGTGAGGCCTCACCTTGAGTACTGTGTTCAGTTTTGGGCACCTCAGTACAGAAAGGACATTGAGGTGCTGGAGCAGGTCCAAAGAAGGGCTACAAGGCTTGTTTAGGGCTTGGAGAATGTGCTCTATGAGGAGAGACTGAAGGAACTGGGATGTTCAGTCTGGGGAAAAGGAGGCTGAGAGGAGACCTTATTGCTGTCTTCCAATATCGGAAAGGTGCTTACAGTGAGAGCGGGATCGGTCTCTTCTAACTGATGGCAGGTAACAGGATGAGGAGAAATGGCCTCAGGTTGCACCAGGGTAAGTTTAGGTTAGGAAACACTTCTTTACAGAAAGGCTGGTTAAGCACTGGAATAGGCTCCCCATGGAGGTGGTTGAGTCACCATCCTTGGATGTGCTTCAAATCCATTTGGATGTGGTGCTCAGGGACATGATTTAGTGAAGGGTTGTTAGGGTAGTATCGTTAGGTCATGGTTGGACACAATGATCTTTAAGGTCTTTTCCAACTTGAGTGATTTTATGATTCTATGATTAAAAAGGATGACCACAGTTAGTGCATGTGGATTTTGAAAGGGACAAAACCAACAACATGTAATAGCTAACAGTAAAGTTTTGACCTCTTCCACCATATTGGCCTGCTTACTGACATCACTGACAGTTTCCAGTGGTGGCATTCTGATGCAGGTGAATTTGGTGGACCCTGAGTTCTCATCTTTCATTATTTTCCTACTGTTAAGTGCTGAACATCTACGTATGGGTGTGTCTCTTCTTTTAAAGTTTTTACCTGAACTCACATCAAAGACTAATGTACATGCAAATGTGTCAAACCTCTCTTCCTCCACTTACATTCATTTGTAGGTTATCACTGATCCATCTATCCTAACGGATTAACATAGGATGGGTAAATGTATGTGCAGAGAAACAAGTGAAGTCTGGGATTGAGAGTTCAACATTCTATTATGACGGAAAGGAAAAAGCTTGTGAGCTGTGTGGGAATTCAGTGAACCTCCCAAAGGTGTCAGGATGAAGTTTTGGTTTTGTTATGATCACAAGATCTCTAGTACTTACTGTCATTTACTTTTTGTTTTGGAACAGCTCATTGTCTAAAAGCAGAACCTTGTGCATTCCATATACCTTGGCCACAATATGATTTCATTTTTTTCTGACACTACTACCATATGCAATACTTAAATGTGATGCTTTCACACTTTGCAAATGGATACTCCCCTTCATAGACATCTATTTACTGTCCATCCATCTGTAATGCAGTCAGGCCTCTGATTTATCTCCATTGCTTGGAAGAGATCTGCACCAATAAAGACTCGTGTTCAGTGATTTTCTTTGCTGTTGGCCATCAGTTCTTGCTACAGAACATATCCCATTTCTTTGGTGTATTTTGATATTCCTGTTTTTCTTTGGACAGTATTACAGTTCCCCACAGACAGGAGATTTCTATGATATTGATTCAATCTGATCACTTGTGGAAGCCAGAGAAGGTGCAAGAAGCAGACTATGCGAAGAAGGGAGTGCTATAATATGTACTACTTACATGCTGATCTGATCACCAGATTTGATTGCAAAGGAAAATCATATTGTCCTGAACGACAGTTCAGCCATTTATGAGTCCTGTGTTTTCCTCTTAACTAGTAATACCATGGCATTCATGACCTCTGTGGCAGTAGTAATCCCCATAACTGATAAAATTATGATGTTAATAATAGAAATCACCATTCCACCTGTACTGTCAGTCCTCCGTGGTAACCACAGACATTTAAAAATCAGATGTTTCTAAGAAGTTAATCTTGAGAAATTCATGTGTTCCGCAGTTTTCCTCCTCCATCTCTGCAGAATGCTGTATTTCATCTACAGCTGAGAAAGAACTGTGCTGACTGGGGAGACCCCTGTGAAACTGAAATCAAATACTTTGGCTCTGGTCCTGGGCTTCAGGTTAACTATTAACCATTCTTAGCACAAACAAGATTTTAACATGAGCTGATAAATTCTTTATGTATTGAATCTCAGCTTCTGATTAAATGAACACAACTCCTTTGAAAACATGGTAGTGCAAAGTTCATTTTCCTATTTGGGAGTTAAGTTTTGTAGCTCTTGAAGGCTTCAAAATGTATTTTTATCTGATTTCCATTTTGCTTTGACTATCAGAGGTACTCTGAGCCATGCAGATACGACGTGCTGTTAACTGCTTGGCTGCATTTTATGAGATGGAAACAAGCAGGATGGGCAGAAGATTTCTGTTTTGTGAGCCAAGAGTGGATGCTGTTTTTATGCACTGCAAGAATCTGTAGAGAAATATGAATTGCTAATCAACATATGATCTGCTGTCCACCAAATCCAACATCCTTAAACGTGGAGGAAACAGCTACACCGGAAAGCTACAAATATCCTGTCTGTGGGACAGAAACATGTGCTAGCCTGTGGCAACAAGTTACACTATCTCCTGTGGAAATAACTTCTTAGTTCCGAATGTTTTGCCTTCCAGACCTTTTTCAGCCAGCACAGCGAACAGCTCAGTGTGTGATGTAACCAATTATGTTTATTTCTCTTTATTAAGCTTTTTAAAGTGCAGTTTCTGTCTTTTTGGTCTTTATTTAATCCTTCCTCCAGGCTTGCATATATTTTGTTAAATACCTTTGAAATCTAGATAAATCTGAGATAGATCTTCAGAATTGGTAGGAGAACCAACACGCCTACCACAGGTCATAAGTGATCATTACATTAATGTACTTTCAAGTCTTGGTTTGCTATTTTTTCTTGAGAACACAGAACTTACATTGATGTTAGTTTTTGCTTGGGAAAACTGTACCTAAAAATGTATTGCAGCAATGGAGCTCTCATAGATACAGGGAAGTGGGCACTGATTATTGACTTGGGAAAAAAAAACACAATTCCTCAAGCCATGCTCTTTCACATGGTTGAGGCCTCACACATAACAAGCAGGTTTCTTCCATAACTCTTAGTTAGCCTACAAAACCTATGCCTTTCCTTATCATGTTTGATTACAAATATTGTGCAGTTCAATATGTTAGACCATAATAAAGAATGATTTCAACAGGATCCTTCAGAGAAGAAGAAAAGCCAAAGAAGAAAAATAATCTTAACACTCAAGACTAGAAGTATTAAAATATCGGTCTCAATGGCATTTAAAAGACAGGGTGCAGTTTGACAAAAGCGAAACACCAGCAACTGTAAGGCTATGTCCCTTTTATTCAGCCACATAACAGTGATTTCAGTACTGGAGAACTGTGTAGTTCTTTAATATATACTTATTATGCCAGCAGGATTAGAAAAGCTTAGCAAACTCCAAGGTCTAGAATTCTTCCACTCCTTGTTCTTAAGAGTCTCTGCTATTTACATCAATCTCTGGTAAAATATTTCCAAGAATATATTTCTGAATGTATAATTGAAGCTTTCATTATGTATATCATATAGTGGTAGTGAGTTATCGAAGATTATCATATTCTGCTTGTATTCTGTTAGTGTTACTCTAATATCTGTGGGCATGCGTCACAATTTAGTACAAAATAATGGCAGACAAAAGATTCAGATTTGCTTTTCTGCCATGTTATGAAGGATTAATTTCTGGGAAAATTGCTTTTCCTAATAAATAACTCTGTAACATCTCATTCTGATGCTGTAACATCTCATGCTGTTTCATGCTTGAAGTTCAGCAGGGAAAGCAGAAACATATCTAAAAAGTGAATGGACGATTGAGGTATAAAGCCATTTGTATTGCAAGATTATGCTGGCCCCACTGAAGACAAATTGATTGGCAGCTGTGGTGTCTGCTGGAGATCCTGGCATTTATTCCATCCAGGGCTTTTCAGGAGAACCCCAGCATTTGCATTGCCAGCAGTGTTTGCAAGTGGATAAATGCTGGTTCAGCAAACCTGTTCCCTTTCTACTGCTGAGAGGTCTTCTGAAGGGGCACCTAGGTTACCTACCCTCATCATGCTGATCTGCAGGATCCTTTGTCTTGCCAGTACCAACAGGGGGCAGGCTCAGTCCCTCAGGGCACAGGATTCAGTGCTTACAGCACAGCCTGCTTACCATAGGCAGGGAGCTGCACAAAGCCTCTGCTCCAAAATATTTGGAAACCTGGTGTTGCAAGAGACCTTCCAAGCCCTGTGTATGTGGATGAGCCATAATGGGATACTATCTGATTATATTAATGAAGTGTCATTAAATCTTGATTTGCAAAATGCCACCACTGGCCATATACACTGTCTGTCTGCATATACAGCGCTTGGAAGGTGGTGAATGAGGTGCTTGAGTGAATTCCGTCATAAAAAGCAGACATAAGGGCACTCTGCAAACCCAAGCTTAAGACTAGTATATTGTGTCACAGACTTTAAGAGAGAAGGCGTAGGAAAATGCACTTATGGGAAGCGTGTGAAACCAGTAGACCTGAAGAAGAAAGTGCAGGCAGATCATTTTCCCTTGGAGGCTGAAGAATAATTCCTAGGAGTTCTGAAAGACCAAAAATATGGCCAGAAAGAGACAGTGCAAATTGTGTTAGGAAGGTTTTTGTCACCAAATGCTTTTCAGAAGGGTCACAAGGACGGAAAGGTGCAAATGATTTCATGAGGGCAAATGATTAGATTCTTCTCTTCACCCTTTTGTTGACTCTCTTATTCATATAGAAGCCTTGTCCTCCTACCCTAACACCTTAGGGTGTTATATGTGCTGCACTACAGCTTCTTCTGTTAGAAGTGACCTCTCACCAGAAGCAAGGACTGTCCTGGTGCATTATGATGTTGATCTACTGAAGCTGATGGAAGTACTTTCACTGTTGCTCACTACAGGCTTTTTTTGAGAAAAAAAAAAAAAAAAAGATTCTGTAAAGTACTGAGAGAACAGTAAAAAGCAAGAAGATGATGGAATTGTTCATATCATTATTTTAGCCTTCAGTGCAATTCCATAGGTGTTCAGAAGACTGCTAAGTGCATGCATATCAAAGTACAAACCTTGGAGAGAATTCCACAGGAGATAGCTTTATGATACTCTGGCTGATCCTGGGACAAATATACCTCGTTATAGTGAAAGCATATTCAGATCATTATAATTCATGTGTCTATTTTTCTGCATTTGTGCCTGTCAGAGCAGTCATGCCCAAACGTGAGTGAATAGGTATTCCCAACATGTAACCCTTTTTTATCACTTATCTACTCAACTAAGCTCAATATGAGTGCAAAGTAGAATAAACTAATGAGAAATGGAACAAAAGAAATGTTAAATATAATTTCCAGTCCAGCACAAAATGAGGTACTTTGCTTATCTCAGATTAATGTGCTCTTTTTTCTTCATCTAGGTGAACTTGTTTTTCTTAGGTTGTTTTTATTGGCTTCACTGTCTTTCGTGGCTGCAGGCTACAGGAGAAAGCAGAAACAATCCATTATTTTTGCTGTCATAAAAAAAAAGTAAGACACTAAATTCTATTCTACTTTTTCCCTTGCAGATGTCACCATTGTCCACATCTACTCACCAAGCCCTTTGAGAAGAGTGAGAAGCCATGTGCACTGTCAGAGTACATGGAGAAATACCCTCTTTATCCCAGCACTCTTCCCAGAGACTCTTTCAAACCAAAAGCAGAATACAAGACGGCAAAGACACCCATGGAAGGCACTTCAGTGACAAAGTATGAGAAGTAGTGAATAAGAGTAAGGATTGTGCATTGGAGAATATGTGTGTGAGAGATGGGTAATTGAGAAAACAAAAATGATTGTCTTCAGGAAAAGGTGAAGACTTACATGCTGGTGTTGTACAAACACCTGTAATTAGCTGTGCTAGTGGAGGCAAGCAATCATTTTTCTTGCACTTTTCCAAGATTGAGATGTGATCTGACTGGAGAATACATGGAGCACAGTGGTAGAGTCATGATCTTGGAGTTTGTCCACATTGTATTTTGGAAAACAAACACGAATATTGCCTTGGAAACCATGGATCATACTAGAGGAGCATTTTTCTTTTGTTCTGTGTTATGTATGAGACTTTGCATGTGTAACCTGAATGAGTAGTTTTCAATAGGGCATGAACATGGTAAAGCCTGATGATTGGAAAGGGGCTATGGTGTGTACTTCAAGGTTAGCTCTCTGGAGTGGAGGATGACTGGAGGAAGGGTCACATCACTCCCATTTACAAGAAAGGGAGCAAGGAGGACCCTGGAATCTAGGGGCTGGTGACTAGTAAGGAGGAAACTAGGAGGCTGGTGAGTCTCACCTCTGTGCCTGGGAAGATCATAAAACAGATCCTCCTGGATGACATGCTTGATCACATGAGCATGTGATCCGAGACCACCAGCACAGCTTCACCATGAGAAGGTCATGCTTGACCAATCTGATGGCCTTCTGTGATGGAATGACGGCATTGTGGAAAAGGGAAAGGCGACCGACGTCATTTACCTGGACTTGAGCAAAGCCTTTGACATGGCCCCCTACCACATCCTTATCTCCAAATTGGAGGGATGTGGATCTGATGGGTGGACCACTAGATGGATAAGAAACTGGTTGAAAGGCTGCACACAGAGGGTGGTCATCAATGGCTCTGTGTCCAGGTAGAGGCTGGTAATGAGCGACGTCCCCCAGGAGTCTGTCCTGGGACCGGTGCTCTTTAACATCTTTATCAATGACACTGATGATGGAATCGAGTGCACCCTCAGCAAGTTTGCTGAGGACACCAAGCTGAGTGGTGCGGTTGACAAAGTGGAAGAAAGGAATGCCATTCAGAGGGATCTCAGCAGGCTTGAAAGGTGGGTCCAGGTGAACCTGATGAGGTTCAACACGGCCAAGTGCAAGGTTTCGCACTTGGGCCAGAGGAATCCCAGGCATCCACACAGACTGGAAGGAGCGGTCCTTGAGAGCAGCCCTGCAGAGAAGGACCTGGGGATCTGGATAGATGAAAAACTTAACATGAGCCAGCAGTGTGCCCTTGCAGCTCAGAAAGCAAATGGTATCCTGGGCTCCATCAGAAGAGGGTTGGCCAGCAGGGACAGGGAGGTGATTGTCCCCCTCTACTCTGCTCTTGTGAGGCCCCATCTGCAGAACTGTGTCCAGGTCTGGAGCCCCCAGCACAAGAAAGACAGGGAGCTGTTGGAGAGGGTTTAGAGGAGGGCCACAAAGATGATCAAGGGTCTGGAGCACCTCCCCTATGAAGACAGGCTGAGGGTGCTGGGCTTGTTCAGCCTGGAGAAGAGAAGGCTGCAGGGTGACCTCATTGCAGCCTTTCAGTACCTAAAGGGAGCCTACAAACAGGAGGGAAATCAACTCTTTGGAAGAGTTGACAACTGCAGGACAAGGGGAAATGTTTTTAAGTTGAGGCAGGGAAGATTTAGGTTGGATGTCAGGGGGAAATTCTTTACAGAGAGAGTGGTGAGGTGCTGGAACAGGCTGCCCCATCCTTTTGCCTTCCGAGCTGCAAGAACACATTGCTGGCTCATGTTAAGGTGTTCAAGGCCAGACTGGATGGGGCCCACAGCAGCCTGGTCTAGTATTAAATGGGGAGCTTGGTGGCCCTGCATGTGGCAGGGGGGTTGGAGATTCATGATACTTGAAGTCCCTTTCAATCCTGGCCATACTGTGATTCTGTGATGCTGTGAGTGCTGGTCTGTTTATGCTTCTCAGCTACACCGCTGCACTGTATTGTTCAGCAGAAATCCCTGCACTTGCACTATGCCCATTTCCCTAAAGGAATGAACTTTCAAGGCCCTTCCTTGCTTCTAATAGGGTGATCTGCTAAGATCTGGCCCAAATTAAAAAATGCATCAAGAAGGAACCCAACCCTTTAACATGAACCTGACAGCTTCACTTTCCCCTAACAAAAGCTTCTGCCTGATGTTATTGGTCACCTTCTTTGTCATCATGGACACACTCATGAACTATCTCACTCTTGCCTTTGCTGATAGGTGTCACATAGAAGCAACAAGCCTCCCTGATTAAAGTGCAGGAGTTGCAGCCAGTACCATTCATTATGGTGCCTTGGTTGTAGGAATGCTGAGTTATCAGCATATCAATCTGTCCTCTGTTATCTCCACTGCAATTTCTGTTGTACTGCAATACTCAGAGTGGAAAATTTCTCCCACTGCTAGAGAATCCTTGAACACAATACCTCAACATCTTAGAATAGTTCTTTTATGTGATACATGAAAAAAAGCTGACTGCCTGACTGTGCTGATACTTATCTCCTACAACTCCTCAACAACAGCAACTGTCTTGCTGTTAAACTTGTTACTACCTCCCCATCCTCAGCTGAATTGCTGTACAGTACATTGCCTAAGAAGGCTATTTTTCCCTCTGCCAAGCATACCAGGTAGCCTGCAGTAATTACTGGGTTTTTGAAAAGAGTGTATGTCTTCTTCTATTACTCCAGTGTAGAACAGAGAGAGATTTGTATGAGACTGTTAACCTCACTGGGTGGAGAGAAGAGGGAATCTGACAGATCTGGCCTGCTTTGGACTGTCCAAAGCTGCTTAAGTTCCTTTTTCACAGTCCAGATTTCCAAAACTGAAGAGCTTGCTTTTTTTCCTTCACAGCTTGTGTGCTATCCAGATGTTATTAGTCTGTGGTGACAAGGGGAAGTATTAATTTCTGTATGTATCCAGGAGAAGAGCATGATTCTGTCCTTAAACCAAGACTTAATGATGTTACTATTCACAGGAGAGATTATGTAGCTCATGAAGTGTTGCCACAGAAACTTAAAGAACCTGAAAAGTATGTCAAGAGTGATGAGAGCATGGATTTGACCTCTGTTTATAAACAAGACTATAACTCCTACCCTATCTGTCAAGTACTTCCTTGCCTCCCCTGTGAGACAAGAGAAATCTCCACTGCCAAGATGAACACAAAATCCACTTATAAAGGTATGTATTCTTGCAACTTCTTTCAGGACTTCACAAGCAGTTTCATTTTTGAAGAAGGCAGGTTGAAAAACAGTGTGCAGTTCTGTGCAGGTGCACCAACAGATTGGATGTGCTGCAGACTCACAAAAATTTCACGTAGAGATACAAGGTGGGGCTGTCGGCCTCATGTTAGTGACAACATTGGGTATCTGTGAGTTCACCTCTTTTCCATGTCTGGCAGGCCTGCAGGCATCTGAGTAGAAACAGGCCCCCTGAACTCCAGAATGTGGATAAATCAGTGTTGCTTTTAGGATATATTGAACATAACGTTGTTTTGCCAGTGGATTAAACACTTTAGATGTGCAGAATTCAGTGGGTTTGAGCAGGTCATGAAGCGTGGCATCAATTTTTTTGTGTGCTGCAGAGTTAATATGACATGTATGGGAAGTACGGACATTCAGACTCCGTGCAGATGTCCAAAGCACTCAAGTTCTCCTGGTAAAACAGTGAATTGTGCACCTAACTGTGCCCTCATTTCTCAGTAGCAGCAGCTAGCTGTAGATGGTTAGGCTTTAGGGGGCTTTGCTCCTTCCTCTCCACCAGCATTACTTCTCATTTGCATGAACTGGAAGAAAGATTTCAGCTATATAGCCACAGTAACAATTTTAGTTTTGGTCAAAAGGAGCCCCCTTTTGCACAGCTTGCAGCTACTCAGTGCTGCTAAGCAGATAGCATTATTGTATTTCTTAAAATATTTTTTACTGTTTCATTTTTCTTGTGCAGTATGGGTATAAAACCTGGTGGCTGGCATTGATATTTATCCCAATATACAGTAACAAATCTTTCTTATAACTCAGAATGATAAAGGAAGTAAAGAAATTGAAGGTATATGAATGCAATCATGCAGTGTTATGATTACCCATCTGCAATGACTGAAAGCCAGACTTAGGTACAGCTGCATGTTTACAATTTCAGGAACTGGAATTTTTACATTAAGTATACAGGAAATACTGTCTATTTAGAATGAATTTCCTTATGAAGACTATGACCCACAGGTGTAAAATACCCACATTTACACAAGTTTGAACATTTTGTTATGTATAGGCTACGTCACCAGATGGTGTCCATTGGAATAGCCTCAGTGAAGCCAACAAAGAAATGCTGCTTTGCCCAAACAGAATCTTTCCTTCTGTATTTAGATACTCTTAACATCTCTGTATCTGGATCATATGTGTATCTTTGTGTTTTATCAATGTTTAGGTCAATACCTCAACTGCTACTCCAGAGCTCTAATAAAATGTAACAAAGCCACATTTGGTTATAATTTGCAGTATTTTTCAAATCTGCAAATGGAAATCTTCATCCAAACCACCTGAAAGATCAAGTTTCATACTGAATTAGTTCACTTTTAAAGGCCCAGTTTTATAAAAGAGTAAGTTCTCATTGTGCTGTTCTCTGAATGTTACTAGGTTTTAGGTATTGCCACTCAAGGTGTGAGATTTTGTAGCATGCTATTCCATTAATTATCATAATTCAAAAATTCAAGCAGCGTATAAAACATATAAACGTGCTGCTTTGGCATTAAAATAGCTTTCCAACTGTATTATTATTCTCCTTTCCGCTACACACACCATGTCCCAAATAAAACTTTGGGTTTAAGATGATGCTATTACATCAATCTGACAATTCATGTCAGATAACTTTGCATCTTGAGGTTTTGAAATTCTCACACCTGCAGGTGTAGCTTTTTGCATCCATTTGGAGGTGTGTAATCTAATTTTAGCACTGTCTTCCTTGCAGTGTGAAGTGTGAAACCTTCCAAAAACATATGGTTCATATCCTCTGCTCCTTTCTGTACCCCATAATGTTTTCAAGATTGTGTTACATGGGAAACTATTAATATCTATGGGATAAGAATTAGACTTACAATAAAACTGTAACATATTTTGAAGGAGTAGTAGCACTATTGTCTTACACTAAATAAAATGAATTCATAATGCCTATGAGGTCTCCAAATGTGTAGGGCTTGTACATTTTTAAAATTGAAGACAGACTCACTTGTTATATTTTGAATATTTTGTAAAAGCTGTGGTTACATCCAGAATGCACTGGGTATTTTCCATCAAGGATGGGGAAATACAGATAGTTTTTGGTGGTTGTCATCTGAACTGCTGTATCTCTTAACGAGCCCTTGCTCAGAGACATGCCCAGTCTCATTAGCTCTCGTTTTTTGACACTAGATAGCAGATCCCCTATAACGTTTCGTGTCTGTGTACACTCTTGGTTCACCATACTGAAACTTCTCTCTAGAATAATGATGAACTCTGAGCAGAGGCACAAGGTGTGGATCCCACCAATGGATGATGCCTAGACCTCTCTTATTCCCCTGGTAGAAGCATGAGCACTTGGGCTTCTTTGATGGTGCTGGAACTTGCAGAGCAGAAGGCCACTGTCAGCAGGAAATGAGTACCTGTGCTGTTGTATGGGCCCACGTTCTCAGCTGCCTGTACTAGTTAGCTGTTCACGTAAGGACAGTCTATCTCCTGGTTTGGCATCGAATGCTGTCCCACGGAGTCTGGGAGACTTTTCATTGGCTTCAGCAGGGGAAGGATTTTGGACACAGAATGCAGAAATCTCCCCAGGCTGACAGGCCTCATCTTCCATTCCACTGTCTTGCAAAGACCTGTGTGTGACCCATTGTTCTTGCTGGGAGGAGCACAGCTCCTGTGGCTGCTCTTTCCTCTCTTGTTCCAAGGCAGGGCACCTTGATTTAAACCAGAAGGACTTTAAATAGACACCTAACTGGGGCAAAGAAAGGACTTTTTTGGTCAACTTCACATTGTAATGAACACATCCTTTGTATAATTGTGTTTGTGCAGTACCGTGGCCACTGCTATTCAGAAGGAATAACTCTATTTGGATTGGAGAGTTCAAATATCCTGATACCTCATTGCATCATTTACTTTCTAGTACTTTGAAATCCAGACTTCCTTCCTGTGCAGTCAGCTGGAAGCTTATTTGCCTCATGACTCCCAGTGTGGTTTGAAAGGAGGGAAAAATGAAAAAAAAAGGCTTGGGTTTGCTCCAAAACTATTTCATTTCAACTTCCTACCAGTAACCATAATGATCTCCAGGGGAAGTTGCACAAGATTGCTAGGAAGGAAAAAAGATGGTCTTGTGGCTGCAGCACTGTTCTGAGAGCTAGGCAGCTTTGCAATAGATTTCTAATGTGAATGAGTGTAAATCTTTTAAGTCTGACTGCCTCATTTTGCCTGTTGTACTGCTGAGTAAGGAAGATATGAATAACCTTAAAATGCCTCCTAGAAATTCTCTTGGCTATGAATTTAGATAGCAGGATTAGGAGTAGGAGCCATCTCAGCGATATGATAGAATCCTTTAGGTCAGGGCAGTCTTGTTCTGCAAATTCTAGCAGCTTGCTATTAACAAAGAATTGGAGGCTTATATTAGTTCCATCTTGGTTCCTGCTTGTGCTGATGACAGAGAGGAAAGCCAAAAGCAGAATAAATGCCACAGAGCACAAAAGCTTGCTGACACAAGGATACTCTGCAAAACTCTAAATTCAGCCAACAGCAGGAAGATCACATCTGTGCAGTTAGGAAAGCAGATCTTCCTACGAGAAGGTATAAAGAGGAAAGGCAGCCCTGCAACTTGGTCTTTAGAGTGGAATGGCAGACATTCAATTTTCCTTGTCCTACTAATACTAAGGAGACATCTGTATGGCCTCCTGGAGACAAAGGCATACTCTGCCTGTTCTCTAAACTAGCCACAGTATAAATGCAGAAGGAGTCTGGAGTTCTTGCCATGGTACTTCCATATTAATGATTTCCGGTTGACTGAGAATGAGGACAGCATTCAGTTACCTGAAGAAAACATCTCTAAAAGACTTAGAACATTATTTAAATTTTCCAGTTTTGCATTTCACCATTTCTGCGGGCAAGCATTGGGTACAGAATTATTTTCATGACAGTTGATGTCTTTTCTTTGTAGATACTTTTAGAAACTTCTTAGATACTTGCAGAAATTTTCTAAAGAGGCTCTTTCAGTGGGTTTCTGACATGATTTGTCAACTTCTACGACTCCAACAAATATTTACTACAGTAGAAAGTGTAAAAAACCTATAATGTTCTAAACGCCTAAACTTGTCAAAGAACTTCAGATGAATGTTTAGATTTCTCCTATGTTTCAGATGACTATATGCCGTGGGATGAACCAAAGACAGAGCTGATCAGACCAGATCATGGGTACCACCCATCAGAAGCAAAATTTGACCACAGAACTGTTGTTCAAGATGAGTATTTCTTCAGGGGACCTGTTGCAACTCAAAGCTTCAAACCTCTGAATTTGATTCAGAAGAGCAAGGCTCCCTTTGAGAATATGACAAATTATACAGCGAATTATGTGCAACATCCTCTGGAGAAACGTTACATCCATCAATATGAGAAATACAAGCCCAATGAGGTCCCATTTAATGGCCTCACTACTAACAAAATTTCTTACAAGGGGCTGGCTGGTACACCAGCCAAATTGGCAAAACCATACCAGCCAAAGTTACTCCATGATCCATTTTTCTCTTCAACTGAGTTTCAGGAAAAATACAAACCCTGGCCACAGCCTCCTATATTTACCAAAAAACCTGCTGAATATGTTCCTCCTATGGAGAAAATGGACCTTCATACCACTACCCAGTTACACTTCAGGCATCTAAATGGCAAGCCAGCCAAGGTGTGTCTACCATTGGCCCAGAATAATATAAGTACAGAACCATTTAACAGCTCTTCAACTATGAAGGAAGATTATAAGCCCTGGATGTGCAAGAGAGTAAAGCCTATCACTCATGCTCCTGAGCTGAGTTTCCCAGCCAAACCAATGGATTTCTTGACTACCTTTCGGACTCATTATCTGCCTCAACCACTCATGCTTACAAAAAGCTATAAACCTCCATGGCCAGGCCCTAGGCCTCACATTCCACTAAATGCAAAAACCATCTATGCTACCAGCTACACACCAAAGGGTATTGTTAGATGTTTAGCCTCTTACAAAAACCCGCCTGGATATATCTTTGAGGGAACCAATGCTGATGGTCACAAACTCTATGTCCCTGCTTCTGAAGAAGAATGTCCACAAGGTTGCCACTGAAAGAGAGAGTGGAAATAGTTTTCTGGGGAATGGATTCAAAGAGCAGGGCTTCTCTGAAACAGCTACAAACAACATCTTGATTTTTTTGCAACCTTATTTAAAACCAGTAAATGATTTTGTATTTGGAAAGATTTAAAAATAAACTAATACGTACATGCTGATTCAAAGGCTTTTTTTGAATCAGTTGTATAAAAGTTTAAAAGCCAAGGACAAGAAAAACATTCTCTGTATACTTTCTTTCTTTTTTTCCAAGAACTACTTTTTATTTGGAAGAGATAACCTGCTCAGGAGGTAGCAAGAGAGATAACTTACAATGGTGTGATTAATTGTTAGAATAAGAATTCATGATGACAGGGGTAGAACCACCTTTTCAGGTGTATTACTTGCTACGAAATCACAGATAGAAGTAACAGCTGGACAGCAAATTCTGAGATTGTTCTTCACTTCCATCAAAGACACATACATACATCATGCACAATTACCAAGTAAAGAATTTCTAAGATTTATTTTTTTCACTCTAGGGGGCAGCAGGGAAAACCTCAAATTTGTCCCAGATTTGTAATTAGATGGGGTAACGCAGCCAATAGCCCAGCTGGAGTGCCTCTGCACCATGCATGCAACACTGGAAATAATAAGGAGCTGTTGGAAACCATAGTGCAACTAGAAAACCATGACCTAATCATTATCAGAGAAATGTGATGGGATGAATCACACAATTGGAGTACCATGATTGTGAGCTACAAGCATTTTAGAAGAGATAAGAGGGTCAGGGGACTATCTCTCTATGTGGATGTTGATAAATGGGTAGATTGTGAAGGGCAGCCTATGAGATACAGCCACGAATATTTTGAGGACTTGTCAGAGAAAATTACTAATAAAGGACATCTGGTGGGAGTCTATTACAGGCTGCCTCAAGGGGATCCTATTGATGAGGCCTTCTTGCTTGAGATGCAAGAGGCATTGTGCTTGTAGGCTCTCATTCTGATGGGGGATTTCAATCACTCGGATGTCTGCTGGGAAGCTGAAATGTAAGACATGCACAGGTAGTGAAAGCAGGGACACGTGGTCTGGGATGCTGTTTGGATGTGAGAGGAGATCAGGAAAGGAAAGGCACACACAGAATTGAACTTACTAAGGAATGTGAAAAATAACAAGAGCGGGTTCTATGGGTACATTGGTCAGAACAGATTGGCAAAGGAGACAAATGATAAATGAGAAGGTAAAAGTCACTTCAAAATATATGAAGAGAGCAGAGATACTCAGCAAGTTCTTTACCTCAGCTTCACAGTCAGGCTTCTTTCCACGTCTCTCACATCTCTGAACCTCTAGGTGGTGGCTGGGAGAGCAAAATCCATCCCTCTGGAAGAGCAGAGCAAGTCTGAGACTGCTTCATGAAATTAAGTGTGTACAAGTCTATGAGTTCAGATGACATGCACTCTAGGAAACTGAAGGAACTGTCTGACATGGTTGCTGAGCTACTTTCCATCACATTTGAAAAGCTGTGGCTGTCAGATGACTGGAAGAAGAGAAACATCATTGCCATTTTAAAGAAGGCTGAAACAGAAAATCGAGGAAACTACAGGCTGATGGGCTTCATGTCTGAGATCTGACTGAGACAATCAACAGATCCTTGCAGAAGTTAAGCTATGGCATATGTGAGTTGAGGAGGTAAACTGAGACAACCAGCATGGCTTCACAAGGACAGATCATGACTGACCAACCAGGTAGTCTTCTATGATGAAGTTATAGAATTAGTGGGCAAATGAAGAGCAACTAATGTTGTCTACCTGGAGTTCTACAAAGCCCATGATATGATTTCATGCCACATCCTTATATATAAATTGGAGAGATGTAGATTTGAATGCTGAACTATTAAGTGGATAATTAACTGGTTGGATGGTCACATCCAGAGGGTTGTGATCATTGGCTCTATGTCCAGGTGGAGTGTGGTCATGAGTGCTGTCCCTCAGGGCTCTGTCTTGGAACTGGCATGCTTTACTATCTTTATCAGTAGCCTGGATAGTGGGATTCAGTGTACTTTCAGCACGTTTGCTGATAACACTAAGTTGAGTGGTGCAATTGTTACAATGGGAGGAAGGGGTGCCATCCAAAAAGGCCTGGAAAAGCTGGAGAAGTAGTTCCACAGAAACATAATGAGGTTCAGTATGTCCAAGTGAAGGGTACTGTAACTGGGTCAGAGCCATTCCATACACAAATACAGTCTGGGAGAACTCCTTGAGAGCAGTCCTGTGGGAAAGGATTTGGAAGTTCTGGTGGATGAAAAGCTGGATATAGTCAGCAGTATGCTCTTGCAGCCCAGAATTCCAACAGTATCCTGGACTACATTGAAAGAGGGGTGGCTAGCAGGATGAGAGAGGTGATTGTCTCCTTCTGTTCTGCCCTCGTGCTGCAGTACTGCATCCAAGTGCATCATCCCACAAAACAAGAAAGACGTGAAGCTGTTGGAATGGGTTCAGAGGATGCCAAACAGATAATCGGAGCACTGAAGTACCTCTTGGATGAAGAAAGTCTGAGGGAGATGGCCTTCTTTGATCTGGAGAAGGCTGTGGGGAGATGTTCTTCCATCACTTGTAGGGAACTTATAAACTGGAGAGAGACAAACTTTTACATGGTCTAATAGCAAAAAAACCAAGGTTGATTGGGGAGGAAATTTTTTACTCAGAGGGTGGTGAGGCACTGGCACAGGCTGCCCAGAGAAACTGTGGATGCCCTATCCTTGGAGGCATTCAAGGCCAGATTTGATGGGTTCCTGGGCACCTGAGCAGTTGGGAGGCGGCTCTGCCCATGGCAGGTGGGGAATGGAGCGGGTAGTCTTCGAAAGTTCCTTCCAACCCAAGACATTCTATGATTCCATGACTTTTCTGACTCAAAGTATATAAAAAACTCATTAAAATCATCATGTGATAACAATGGAGAACATAATGAGTTTACTTGAATGATGAAAGATGTGGTTCCACAGAAATGAAAACTGTTTAGAGCTTGGGTTGCTACAGTTTCACCTTCAGTTGCATTTTTTCTCCTATTATCTCCCATGCTGGCAACAACATCAGCAATGTCTGACTGCATTATCACCAGGCCAATCTGGCTGAAAGCAAAAGAGTGCTTTAGTCAGATTAAAGTTTATTTAATTCCTTCACTTTAAATGAGGCACCATACAAATTACCATCTTTAGTGAAGGAGTTCCGTGTGCAAGGAAGCACGCGTCTGGTAGTTCAGGCTTAGCTTTTTTGTAGAGGCTGTAGAATTACATACCCATCTGCTTATAAGCTCTTGAAAGGGCTTCAACCAGTGCAACAGATTGCTAGAGATAGAAAGCAAATTACCAGCCTCTCAAATATTTCAGAACTAAGAAAAAGTGTTGACACAATATTCTTCAGCAAGAGCTGAGGATATTCACAGCACAGACAGAACCAATACCAATACTGGCCATGGTTCTCCAGAGACCACGGGCAGTTGGACTTAATGTATGAAAAAGGAAACCCTTCAATTGTGAGAGAAAAAAATTAACTTTCCTGATGTGTGGAAAGGACCCCCCAGAGGGAGCCACATCATCTCAGCTGTAAAGAGTTGTTTAGGCAGAGAAATGCCAAGCGGGCTTGATGAGATGGAGATCTTTCACAAAGAAGTTTCTGTAGTACCACCAGCAGAATTTGTTTTTGGCTGATCTTGTTACAAATCCCACTTCCTCCCCATTCTTTGCCACTTTCCCACATTGGAAGTAGTAATTTGGTGGCTTGTGCCTTTCTTCTTGTTTTTGTGGGAAAATGCTGCTTTGGAACAACCTGATTTTCACTTCTCCATCTGTCTGGATATGTGTTGCACAGATGTTTTAGGATGCATTTGGGAGAGAAGGAAAATATATATTAAAGAGTTAACAGCATACAGGGCCTTTTATTTCTGGCTTCTTTAATCTCACTGGTGCTTTGCTTGGTGGCAAAGGGACGTATTCCCAGCTGGGCGCCAGAGGAGGGCACTGCCCAGCGCCACTGCATGTGGTTCAGGGGACTGCCTTCCCCAACCAGAAGACCCATGCCATGCTTTGCTTTCTGCTCAAGGAGAAACACACCCATGGGACCCTCCCAGCCGAATGTAATTCGCTGTGATTTGTATTTAGTGGGCTAAGAGCGAGATTTTCTTCTTTTTTTTTTTTTTTTTGGTAATAAAATCACTAAGTTGTATGCTATTAGTGAAAACTGATTCCTTCAGAGTTTCACTAAATGAAGTGTTTTAACAAGCATCTACCAACCTTATAGGCTATTTCTTCAAAGAAGTAATTTATGCTTAAAAAGCCCACAAAACCAGCAGCCTACCAAATAGCGCAAGGGGAGCTCCCCATGCAGCCCAAAACAAATTACTCCTCAGCAGAACCATTAACCCATGGGTGTACAACCTTTTGGCTATCCTGGGCTACCCTGAGTGAAGAGGAGTTGTCCTGAATCTCATATATATATATATATAGACATACTGCTTCAAAAGGAATGCATCCTATTTATTTCTATGGAAACTACAATAGCTACAAAGAGAACAATAACATTCTTCAATAGAGAAAATTGTCAGCTACAGAAAGTTATTTTTAAAAATAAGCACCCCCATTAGCTATGTATTTTTGTCAGCAATGAACAAGAGCCTGCATGCTGTGCTTGTAACAGTGTGGACCAGTGGAGGTGACCTGCTGTCACTGTCACCACTGCTGAAATGCAGAACCCACCACCTCACTGTGCTCAGATCCAATGTTTGGTGTCCATAAACATTCAGCAAGCATCAGTGAATGTCAATCGGTGCAATAATTTCTGGATGGAGGAATTCAATCACACATCTTTGCATAAGACGCACTACTATATAAGATGCCAATGTGTCAGACTGCCTCTCTGCTGCCATCTGTCACATGCAACAAGATGCAGTGGAATACTGGTGGGAAGATTCAGCCTCTATTGCCATACCAACATCTTGCCTCTGCCATTGTAGGCCAACATAATAAA